GGAGAAGTCAAGTTGACTCTTTCAGTTCGAACCAGAATTCTCTCTTCTCTCTTTTTCTTTCTCTCTTTCACCTTTCTTCTTCTACATAACTGATCTCAGACAGGCAGAACTCTAAGGCAGACCTGAATTCTAACACTCCACATATCTATGATATTGTTGCCAACCATCATGTCTCACTGGGGAATATGTTAATTCCAGTAAATATTTCATGATGGTACCCATGGAGATGGAAATTTCATAGAAATATTAGGAAATATGTTGACCTTTTAAACCATGCCTGTTTGGGTCAATATTCAATGTAGTAGGTGCCACAAAGAAAACTCTCATTGGAAAGTCCACATTACCAATAGTCACATGTATGGAAGTTTTGTTCCTAAGGTCAACAAGATGGATTCATCAGATATTTTATTTACTATTGCTTTCAGGAACTTATATTTGTTCTTGGGCATCATATTTTTATATTTCTTTGTAATTCTTGTACAGGAAAAGGGGTTTTTGAGTTCTGCTTTGGTGATGAAGAAGAAGTTGAGACCATATTTCAATCTGCATTTGGTGGAGGGCGATACTTTTATTGGTCTTTTATTAATGAAGAGGATTCTCGTTGGAGGAATTCATCTTACTATTCTAACAAGTACCAGGGGTCCCAGAATTGGAAATATTGGAGTGGAGATGAATACGAAGCTTCTACAGAGCATGACACTTCTCAGTCAAATTTAACTTCAGAACGGCTAGCCCTTGGTTTGAGTGCTTCTGGTTCTTTGAAACTTGAAGAAGTAAAGAATGCGTAAGTTATCTGATGATCTCTTGCTTTAATTATTCAAGCCTTTACACCTTCATGTTGCTTCTGTTACTTAAGTGCTTATAATTAGTGATTTACATGTATATCTGGGTTTTCTTTGGGATGTTTTTAACTGTTAAGATGTGATTCATTTTCAGATACCGAGTGTGTGCCTTGAAATGGCATCCAGATCGTCATCAAGGTTCTTCTAAGGTATGCTTTCTAGCTATCCTCATTATTAAGCTTCTTCCAATGTAGGTTTGACTGGGTTCTTACAGGTTGTTCCTTTTTGTCTTCCTTTTTCTTCCCATAAGTCGTCTGGGGGTCTGTATACTCCTTGCATACCATTTGCTCTTTTCATTAGATTTATTTATTATAGTGTTAAATGTCATTTTTCATCATCTCTTTTCTACAAACAAATTCCAATCAACAGACAAGATACCAAGTGCGAAGAAATTTAGCATGTTTCAAGGATATTAAAAATGAAAAAAAAAACGAGAAAAAACCTTATAGGAATGTGTTAATTGGCACCAAAAATAAGCTTTTCATTAAATGGGAAAAAATTGCATGTATAACAGTGATGTTTGCATCTGGGTCTGATAAGGCTTTGCACACACAGTTCGTATAAAAAACAGTAGGACCGATCTACCTTATTAATATTTATGCTATTTTATTAGAAGGACAAATATAAAAAATACTCCTGAAAACATTCTATATATCACTACAATATCTATAGCTGCATTGTAATCAAAATGTTGCCCCAATAACCCCATAGGGACCTCAACTTCTACACCCAACTCACTGAGTAGAGCTTTCAGCCAAAGTAATTTTGATGCACGGATGCACCATGAGCCATGGCTCTGAACTTGAATTTTGCACTAGATTTAGCAATTACAAGGTTTTTTTCCCAAATCACAAGATCACCACCAGTGAGTTGTAGTAGATCTTTCATCATCCAAAGAACCTGCCCAATGTGCATTGGTGTAGGTTTCTATAGACACAACCACTATTAGTAAACAACCATGTGCCATCATACTGTTGAGCATGTATTTTCTTTAAACTGGACTTATTATTTTGGTCTTGCTTTTTATTTCAATTGATGACTAGTGATTTGATGGCAAATTATCAATTTTGTACATCAACAGGCTGTTGCAGAAGAAAAGTTCAAGCTCTGTAGTGCAGCATATCAATCATTATGTGATAAACTTGCTGTAGGTTAAGCTAAGATACCTTGTAGCTGGCATTCAGAGACCAAGACAAGTCTCCTCAACTTGATGCAGGATTCTTTGCATGTTCAGATATAACAACATGCATCAATCAGATGTTGCCTGAATTACATATACAATCTCATTGGGGATCTTGGACCAAGAAAAGATTTTTCAAAAAAAAAAAAAAATCTTGGACCGAGGAAAGGCGTACCGTGCAATCACAGTTTCGGTAGACTGAGTCAATTTAAATGTCTTGATGTATGACTGCCATGTCTTTTGTTTATTTATGTTGCTTGAGAATGTAAGGATAACGCTGGTCCCATATGATAAGCCAAAAGCAGTGGTGGCAGGGACTAAAAAGAATAGAAATTCATGCATAGAAGTATTTATAATCTAGAATAAAAAAAAAAACTTATTTTTGTGCCATTTATGCTGTCCTTTTATATGCATTTGTTTTCAATATGTTTAATTGTTTACTTGCAATTAGGTTGAAAACATCCCTTGGTAAATTTGCTCTTTCATAAAAGCTCCCCTTGTCATAAATTGCTGCAATCACTGGGTTTACTCAACAAGAAAACCAGGTTGAGACTTGGGGTAGTATGTTTGTCTTTTCAGGTTGGATGCAGTCTTGCAGGCTGAATCCCTATGCGTCTTTGGCATCGGTATCTGTTTCATAACTTTTCATGGATGGAACTCAATTTTATAATATTCTTGAAGCTGATACAGGGATTTATTGGTGAAGACGAAATGATGCAAGCCCCAAAGCCAACACCCAACATGTATAGGCAAGGCTTCCGGATCAGATTGGAAGGTCATCGGCAGCAAGACATCAAAATCTGTTGACCCATCAAACCTCATCAGCAGTATTTACCCATAACAAAGCCAATCCTAACACCCGACCTGATTTGTCCTACAATTAGTTCACCCATACGCGATCAAGGTTATGTTTATAAATGTTTCAAATTTCAATGCTACTATGTCAACAGGTTGGATTTGGTATGGTTAGGCCCAAATCCGAAACCAGGTTCAGGCTGACCCAACCTTAACCAGATAAGATAAGATTAATGTGGGTTTACCATTAACTTGATCCACTGAGATCCCTATCATGACACTGGAAGAGGTGATGAATTAAATCTATTGCACAGGGAGCTTTTCTGAAGACAAATCTTGAATGATGTCTTGGTGGCCATTGAGTGCAATACGTTTTTTTGGTGAAAGCCATTGAATGCAATATTGACCCTAGAAAAGATTGGATCATCTGAGTATAGTGTGCGTAATTGATCCAAGAGAAAACCTGCACCTACATCCTATGGTCGGTTTTTCATTGCCTATATCTTTTATGGAAAATGCTATTGAGCAAAAGTATAAAATTGGATTAAGATGAGCATATCAATAGCTCACTTTTCTGTTCCTGTAAGTAAAAGGTCCAAAGATTCTTCTGAAAGTGAAAGGCTATTAAGACAAGGGAACATACCATACCATGGGTAAAGCATTTGGTCATGTAATTGAGCTCAGGAGGAGGTTTGCTCATAAAAAGTAAAAAAAAAAAAAGCCTCAAAGAGATGGTGGTGTCATAGGCTTTCATGATTTAAATGAGGTCCGGTTGGTCTGCCATTTGCAATTTGTCTACGACTGACACCTCATGTGATACCCCACAAGAGAACTTGACTTGAAATATCTCTTATTTTGCTTTAAAGTGGCACGAGGAGTGGAGGTAACTTGAGAAAGAAAAAGGTCTTTGTGGGTTGAGACTTGAGAGGTGCTAAACTTCAGCAATTTATGGTGCTTTGGAATGTTGATCAGGTGCTTTCCCCACCCAGAAGCTATGAAAGACTTAAGACAAGCTTATCAAGATTCTAAATATCGACACTGGCGGCATATCGGTTTGTGTTGGTGCTTTATTTTTATTTTTATTTTTTTTTATGTTTCACTTATGTTTTTCAAAAGTGATTCAGAGGGGCCCATTTAAGGCCCGATTATCCTCTGAATCAGTGGCTGACCCGATACAACCTCCGTAGGGGTGTATCGAGAAGCCACCAGCATGATACATATTAACCAATACGTGTCCGATACATATTGATCAATACGTGTCCGATACTTTGAACCTTGAAGCTTATAAGTTACACGGTTACACCTCAAAGGAATAGGGAGGTATAGAACTCCTTAGGATGTGGTTATTGCGAGTCACCAAAAATGAAAAAAACAGAAGAATTGAGAAAGAACGTTTCTTTTACAACTGGCTGGGGAAAACTTTCTTCCCCGGAAGATTAATGGGTTTGTTGACAGACCCCTAAAAAACTAAATGTCTAAATCGTACAGGCTTGTCATTGACACATCAATCCATCAGAACAGTGAAAGGGCCATTACTCAATGTTGGTCCCAGCCATCTGGGGTCTTGGAAGGGGTAGACTGGTCCTAACCTTTGACATTTTATCTTTTGCACGAAGTGGCCATTCAGATTCATTTGAACCTGTATTCTCACATACCTCGGGTTGAAAAGCGTGAGAACGCAGGTTTGAGTCTGAGAGCGGCCAACTTAAACACAATATGAACGACAGAAAAGATAACATGATCTTCTGATTAAAATGCTTCAACACTATCATCAAGGATAGTTCTGAATACCAAATAGTGGTGATGCAGAATTTTAAGCTCAAATAGTGGAATCTTTTATATTAAGTCAACTCCACTAAAATGGATTTGGTGTTTTGGTTTCCGAATAAACCCACAAAGATAAGGTTTTTCAAGTGGACATGTTTTCCCTTTTTAATTTCATCATTTACCATCTCATTGGTAGGGGATGGAACATTCTATATGATTGTGCTCTTCACCGTGCGAGTGAAAAACCAGTCTGTCTTCTCTACATTTTCCAGGACTCCATTAGTATATGGTGCCATTTTAGTAAACCTTTTGGAAGGGAGTTGGTCTGATTCCACTAATATGAAGTTTCTTATTCAAGTTTAGCCACCGAAAGGCTTCAAGAGAGGAGAATAATTTGGAATAAATTACCCTTTCCTGTTCGTTGGAGTACATCTGTACATGAAAAGAGCATAACTCCATTTCGTGCCACATGCAGTAATCTTTTCTTGGATGCCTATTTTCTTGGACTTCAATGATCTTCCACTAATTTCTGTAAAGATTGGTTAGGAGTCAGGTCCCAAGCCAATGATGTTGACTGGGACTTGTTCCCTTCTTTTTTTTTTCTTGACATATAATACAAAAAAAAAAAAAAAAAAAAAACTTCACTTACAAAACAAGTGTTGTTTTATCTGATTTCCCTTCCATTTTCTCTTTTGGAGACATAAAACACATTCTTTTTCTCTGGGAAAAGCTCAGGCCAGGAAGATTGTTTACTAAATTGAGATGCCTTTCTTAATTTAAAAAAAAAATACATAATGATTCCAGAAAGTTTTCCTTCCAACAAGTTCTTTTTCCTTGATTTCTAGTCATTGCTGGTTTGTTCGGTTTGCAAAGCATTCATTTCTGCTTGGATCTGCCTATGCGCAAGTGGACAAATACTATCTTGTTATAACCCCGGGTTATTCTGATCTTGTCATCCGTGTATCTGCAAAAGAAAATGGAAATCAAAATCCTTGAGCATGAGAGCCACTCTCTGTGTTTCTTTTCATAATCAGTAACAGAATAGTAATCGTTCTTCTAGTTTTTTTTTGATAAATAATCGTTCTTCTAGTTACAGCTTATAAAAAATGTCAAGTCTTACAGCAACTCCAAATTGAACTTGCTTGTCATCTCCATAGGAAGTCCAAATGGGCCAGCTAGGATGGCTGCATCATCCATTGTAACATCATATTTGTTGGTATCAGATTTTCTGCAGAGAACAAAATTGCAAGATTAGGGTCATTGGGTCTGATGAGTTAGGGCAAATGTCAAAACAAAAGAAAGAAAATAGCTCTTGTTTTCTTTTTTCTTTTTTAGAATCTTCAATGTCAATCCCATCCTCCTCATTTCCCCTTCCTTCCCAAAAGAAACAAATGTGAACTTACTATTTGGACACATCTGAACATCTTATCAAGAGAAATGGTATTTTGACAAAAATATGTTTCAGTCGAGTGATGCTACCATGTGTTAATTAATCAAACTATATCACAATATATTAATATTTCAGTAAACGGTTCTTTGGATCTCTTGGGTGTGCCTGAAGTTACAAGTGAACAGAGGAACTCATTTAAAATAGGTAAATTGTAGATTGTGAACGTGGATATAAGTTGGATGGTGTTCCAATTAAGGCTCTCAATTCTCATTTTGGTTGGTCATCTCTAACCAATTGGAAAGTTGGTAAATTGTAGATTTGTAATCATGAAAGGTGAAATATCCTTAAAAATCAAATATAACCTCACTTCCTTTATTTGAAGGTTGGTAAGTTGTAGATTTATAATCGTGAAAGGTGAAATATCCTTAAAAATCAAATATAGCCTCACTCCTTTTCTTTGAAGGTTCTCTAAAATCCTCTTTATCTTGAATTTTGTTGCCGTATTATTAGTTACAATTATTAATCATTACTATGATTATTATAAAGAGTTCATTACTATTAAATTATTATTCAACTAAAGCCCAGCCAAAGTTTTTCATTAAAGAATCTAGAATCAACAAATCTAAATGTTTCTTTCTTAATTTTATGCAAAATCTGGATTGAGTAGTTTTTATACCTCATGGTAGTTTCCAATAAATGTTGTAAAAAATTGATAAAATTTCACTAGCATCTTGTCAAAACTTGGAATATTTGCATATAGTAAATAGAAAATTTCACTTGATATATAAAAATTTTGAAATATTAGATTTTTTTCCATGAGGTTCAGGAAAGAATAAAATTGAAATATTATATATATCAAGGTTCAAAATATCGATAGACATAATTCTTCCTTTTTGTAAGGAATATATAATTTGTTTGTTTTTGAGGGCTGAGTGTATGGGTTTGATGGTTCTCTCTGTATAACTTCTCATTGCACAGAGACTTGATGGGTTTGATTCAGACTTGCATTTTTCAATTATAAAATTTCTACATTGTTGAGTTTGATGAATTTCATGGTATCTTCCAAACTACAAGATCAGATAACTCACATAATGTTCCCAGTCATTGAGAACTTGAATCCAAGTAAGATGTCTACCAAGAACTTCATCTGTCCATTTTCCCTGACAATCTAAAAAATTATATTTAATAGAATTAGAAACTAAAATAAGTTTCAGACAGAACAAATAAAATATATTTTATATAAAAAAATAATAAGGAAAACATGGTACAAAAATGCAAAGATATCAAGTGTCACCTTTTCATCTTACCTGATTGCCCATGAGACCATTAGCTGCATTCTCTAACCAACTGTCAGTCTCCGTCTGCAACATGCAAGAGATTATACTTACTTATGGTCTTCTAAGATCATGGGTTTGGAAAAAACAAAAATGGATATTCAGTTTTTCTTCAGGAGGTTGGAATGATTGACAGAGGAGTAAGTAACTTTGAGAAAAGGGAATAAATGGATACTTTCTATGCAAAATGACTAAAAGAAAGAATGAATTAAGAAGGGAAGGAAAAACACACATGAAAAAGGACACCTGGGCATTACAAGGCATAATACACTTTAGAAATATTAACAGAGGGCAAAGTTCTGCTTGTATTTTTGAGTAGGTGATGCAGGAGCTGAAGAGTCAGAATTGGAATTTTATGTATTTCTGTATTTTGGACAGTAGGGGTATTTTTGTCATTTTGAGAATTTGTGGGGTTCAATGATAGGGTTTAATTTGTCTATTTATAGTTTGTTTATGTTTAAAATTTCAGAGTCATTGCATAACTAAGATTAGAGTTACTGAGTCTTCTTTGAATTGAAATAGGATGTCAGCTTAGTTTGAGTTCTACTAGGATTAATGAGAAACAGTTTGACTCCTAGGACTATTATGAGTCTAACAGTTTGACTCCTAGGTTTATTATGAGTTTAGAGCCGATAAATATGTATGGACGTTCTACACAAAGAGCAATGAAGTTTACTGAGTTTTCTTCAGCTTATGCTAACTATGGTGAGCGATTCCCATGCCCTAGGGTGATTCTGGGCACTGTGTGAGTGATTCCAGGAATTTTCTCTCTTCTTTCTCTCCCTATTTTCTCTCTTATTCCTTCAAGAATCCATTACATCCATCAACAACCATAAAATTCTGATCAAAGAAGACTAGCCAAAATTCTCTAAGAACTAGAACTGAATTGGTCCTACATCAATAGGAGATCATTTTCCACTTCTTAGGATATGTTGAAATAGAATCAAGAACTAAGAGAATATCAATTTTTAGCAGACAAAAATGTTATTTCTAATTTAAGTTGGTTTCAAGATTTGTTGTTTTTCAAGAGCAACTAGTTTTTTAGGAGATCGCTTTGGCTGTTTGGAAAAAACAGCCTGGGCTGTTTTGGGAGCCTTTACACATGACACCTTAGTAGTCCTCATTTGTCTTTTCAACTAAAAAGGTATTGAGTTTAAATACTATTTTACCCACACTCATTATGAGATGTCATTAACTGCAGGCTTCCGAAACAGCCCAGGCTGTTTTTTACAAACAGGTTGACAGCCAAAGTTTTTCTGTTTTTTAGTGTGGGTTAGTGAATCAAATATACCTTTTTGAGAGTAAATCAGCCAACCAATTTGATTTGTCCTACATTCTTAATATAATTTGGAACAATGCATGGCCTTGTTTACTTTAATAAGTCYCAAATGGATGGTGCAATATAGCTTAACAAGACATTGGGAGGATGCCATTTGATGATTAATAGTAGAAAATTCAGAAAAGGAGGCCAAATTGGTGCTTTTTTCTCACAAATGCTTTATTTGTAATGGAAACGGGAACCTACCTTTCATTTGCAAACCTCTTCCACTTTCACCTCTAACATTTGAGAGTGGTTTATGGCTTTTTTTGGTAGAAGGTGGGGATGCACCAGGGGTTCTGTTTGGGAGGAGAGAAATGCTAGAATCTTCAAGGAGAAATAACGACCTAAGTAGGTAATAATAGAAAACATTACCTTAAAGATGTTTAAACAGTTTTCTATAGATGAAATCATCAGGGGATGGTAGGTTGCAACACACTCCTCTACACCTAGAACCAGAATGCTAAGAGAATGGTCTCCACCAGATGCAAACCAAGTGGAGCTCAATTTTGATGGGTGTTCTTTAAGCAATCCTGGCAATTTGGGCTTTGGAAGTGTAATGAGAGAGAGAGTCATGGAGCTTGAAAGATTTATTCTCAGGACCCATAGCTGTGGGGATTGCACAAGAGATGAGTTGATGGTTGTCTTACAAGGCATTGGTGGTGGAAGGAGATTCCCGAGTTGTGGTGGAATAGTTAATGAAGAACTGATAAGGTGCTTGGCACTATAGGCATACTTTAAGAGAGAATTATAGCATTGTAAAGACTCTCGAAGCAACTGTGAAATGGGTGCCAAGATCAGCAAACTCTCTAGCAGATCTACTTGCAAGAAAGGAGTTAACAGGGAACAACATATATATATATCTTGACAGTAAATCTGATTGAAGGTTACAGCAAAGAGAAGAGAAGAGAAGAGGAGAGAAGAGAAGAGAAGGAAGAAGAAGTGTTGAGGCAATGGAACTGTACTGGCGGCGCCAGCTTCATTATATATATATATATGTCTTGACAGTAAATCTGATTGAAGGTTACAGCAAAGAGAAGAGAAGAGAAGAGAAGAGGAGAGAAGAGAAGAGAAGGAAGAAGAAGTATTGAGGCAATGGAACTGTACTGGCGGCGCCAGCTTCATTATAATATATAGGGCGAAAAAATAAGAAGGGAAATGACCCTTGTGCCCCTACTAAGTGATAGTACAATAATAGATTAAAATAAAAAAGGCTTTAATCAGCCAAATAGACCCTAACAAACATAAAATCAATTATTTTAACACTTTCAACACTCCCCCTCAAGTTGGAGCATAGATGTCAATCATGTCCAACTTGTCACACAAATCATTATGCCACACATGATGAAGGCCTTTGGTGAAGATGTTTGCAAGTTGTTCTTCTGAGTTGACATATGGGGTGCACATTTTTCCACTTACAAGTTTCTCTCTAATAAAATGATTGTCCACTTCAATGTGTTTCGTCCTATCATGGAGGGCGGGATTAGCTGCAATGTTAGTAGCAGCCTTATTGTTGCAATAGAGTGACATAGGGTTGCTAACTGTAAAATCCAGTTCTCCTAACAGATTTCTTATCCACATGATTTCAACAACTCCATGAGACATAGCTCTGTATTCTGCTTCAGCACTAGACCTAGCCACCACACTTTGTTTCTTACTTCTCCATGTGACTAGGTTTCCCCCTACAAAGGCACAATATCCACTGGTAGACTTTCACTCATCAACTGCCCCTGCCCAATCAGCATCGGTATATACCTCCACCTTTAAATGTCCATGTTTCTGGAACAGCAAAGCAGCTCCAGGAAACTTCTTGAGGTATCTGAGGATCCTCTCTGCAGCTTCAAAGTGAGTTGTCTTAGGATTGTGCATGAACTGACTAAGGACACCCACTACATAAGCAATATCAGGCCTGGTCATAGACAAATACAAGAGTCTCCCTACAAGTCTTTGAAACTTCTTCACATCTTTCAAGAACTCTCCCTGACTGTCTCCCAGATGATGGTTAGGTTCAATTGGTGAGTCAATTGGTCTCACCCCCAGTTTGCCTGTATCTTCTAGTAGATCTAGTACATATTTCCGTTGGGAAATAAAGATGCCATTGTGAGAGCGGGCAACTTCAATTCCAAGGAAATAACGTAAGGGGCCTAGATCTTTCACCTCAAATTGAGTGGCTAAGAACTTTTTTAGTCTATGTATTTTAGCTTCCCAATCTCCTGTGATCACTATGTCATCCACATACACAATTAGAGCTGCAACTTTCACTTCACCTTTCTTTACAAATAGTGTGTGATCTGACTAGCATTGTTTGAACCCCATCTGCTGAACTGCTGAGTGGAACTTACTAAACCAGGCCCGAGGAGATTGTTTCAGCCCATATAAAGATTTTTTAAACTTGCACACTTTTTGTTCACTACCCCACTGGTTTTTGTGTAATGCATCAATCTCTTCCTTCATTGCATCTGTCCATTCAGGTTTGGATAAAGCTTTTGCCGCATTCTTAGGAACGGGGATACTGTCAACAGAGGAGAGGAATGCACGATATGAAGATGAAATATGATCATAGGACACAAAGTGAGAGATAGGATGGTTAGTGGTACAAGATCTAACACCCTTTCTCTTAGCAATAGGAATATCAAGATCATTAATGACAGGGAAATCAACATTGAGAGGAGCAGGCATATTAATAGAAGCAAGTGTACTTGGCTGATGGAAATGATCAACCTCCGGTGAAACCGATGATGTTGGTTGCATAGCGTCAGGTTCCATGGCTCTTGAACTCTGCTGGCTTTTGTGGCGGCGAAGAAAGACACGGAATGGAGGAGGGTCAGGTAGAGGAGGTAGTTGAGTCTGAGCCTGTTTCTCCTCAACCCTACTCTCCCCCTGAAGAGAAACCGAGAAGAAAGGTTGATTCTCAAAGGACACATCTTTTGAGACAGTACTTACGAGAGATGGGGTCATAGCAACGGTACCCCTTTTGAGATAGAGGGTAACCAAAGAAGACACAAGGAATAACACGAGGATCAAGTTTACCCCGAGTAGGTGACAAGTTATGAACAAAGCAACGACACTCAAAAACATGCATTGGAATGGGGAACAACGGAGTTGTAGTAAACAAAAGCTGATGTGGGGCCTTATACTCTAGTAACCGAGAGGGCATACGGTTGATGATGTACGTAGCACATAGAACAACATTCATCCAAAAGCGCTTTGGAACATTCATATGGATTAACAAGCCACGAGCTACTTCAAGAAGATGACGGTTTTTTCTTTCAGCAACACCGCTTTGTTGAGGTGTCCTAGCACAAGAGCTTCGTTGAAGTGATCCACTCGAAGCAAAGAATTCTGTGAGATCACTATGGAAGTATTCCTTTGCATTGTCTGACTGGAAAATATGGATTTCAATTTGGAACTGAATGAACACCATGCGTTGAAAGTCTTTCACAATTTTAGGCACTTCCTCTCTAGATCGCATAGGGTAAACCCAGGTGTATTTAGAGTAATCATCGATCAAGGTAATGAAGTACTTATATCCAGCCTCAGTAAGTAGAGTAACAGGGCCCCAAACATCAGAATAAACAATATGAAACGGAAATTCAGATCTTTTATTTCTCAAAGGAAAATAGCTTCTACAATGTTTACTCAATTGACATGTCTGACACTGCAACTGACTCATTGAAAAAGACTCAAACAACTTTGGAAGCATAACTTTTAACGACTCAAAAGAAAGATGACCAAGACGACTATGCCATAAATAGGCTTGACTCTCACTGGACGAACTCAAAGACTCTGTAGCCACAAGACCAGCTTTATTCTCCAACACGTAGAGGCCATCCACCATGCTTCCTCTACCAATCATCTTCCCCGATGCCAAATCTTGAAACACACATGAAGACGGATAGAAAGTAACTGAACAGTTCAAGGAGTGAGTAATACTACTAATGGAAAGCAGATTTATAGGTAGCTTAGGAACATGTAGTACGTTAGAAAGGGTAAGGCCGAGTGGGAGAGATATGGTTCCTTGGCCGGCTATGGTGGAGAAAGAGCCATCAGCTAGTCTCACCTTATCTCTCCTAGAGAGAAGATTGTATACCTAAAATAAATTTGACTTACCGGTCATGTGGTTTGAGGCTCTAGAGTCAATTACCCAAGGGGAATCAGAGGTACGGGATGACACATGGAAAGCAATGGCAGTGTTACTTGAAGCAGATGCAAAAGAGGTAGAAGGAGTAGGACCAGTATCCATCTGGCAAAGAGTCCTACCATATAACTCCAAATGTTCACGGAATGAGTTGATGATCTCTTCCTTAGGGTCAGAACTGGGATGCCTTTCTTGAGTTACCATGGGACCAGTCTCTTGAGATGCCATATTAGCTGAGTTATACCTTTTCTGATTCTGCTGACTTGGTTTCTTGCCCTGATCAGTTGTTGACTTCTTACCCAAATCCTGTGCCCATTTAGGTTTTCCATGGAGATTCCAGCAGGTATCTATGGTGTGTCTTGCCTTTGGGCAGTGAGTGCACCAAAGCTTACTCTTATCATCTGTTCTCTTCTGAGAGTCACCCTTCTTAGATCCACCTCCAACATTAATATCTGAACTTCCCCGGACAGCTAGAGCAACTGGCTACCCCTCTGTAGAATTCGTCACATTTCTTCTACTTTCTTCTGATTGAATCAAGGCATAAACTTCCTGAACTAATGGCAAGTCTTTACTTCCCAAGATCTGCACCCTGATGGACTCATATGAAGGATTCAACCCCAAGAGGAAGGCAAATACCCATTGCTGAGATACATGTGATTTGTATGCCTTTGCATCCTCATCACACTTCCAGTTAACATTCTGATAGTGATCAAGTTCTTTCCATATCGATGTCAGATCCGAATAGTACATCGAGAGACTCCTTGCTCCCTGCTTACAAGTGGACGATTCAGCTTGCAGTTGGTATATCTTAGCATAGTGTCTCTATTCTAAATAGGTGGACTTTGCTTGTTCCCATATTTCACAAGCAGTTTCAGCCCACATAAAAGTTTTTCTCACCTGTGGCAGCATGGAAACCAAGAGCCAAGACATCACCATACTATTTTCTTGGTTCCATCTATCATATTCAGCACTTTCGCACTTCGGTTCCTTACTTTCCCATTGATGTATCCTATTTTTCCCCTATCAGTGATGTAGAGTTTTATTCCCCTAGACCATTCAAGGTAATTCAGACCATCAAAGGGAATGACAGCCATGGGGAAACTCATATCCATTCCCCCACTTACCCCATTTTGATTTCCAGAAATCCCTGAAGTAGCAGAATTCTCAGAAGACATGGTCAATACAGAATTTTTTTTATCAAAAAACTTCAACTTAGGATCCCTCCTTATATCAAAACAAAAAACTCCACACACAACAAGTGATTAGTCCACCCACACTGCAGTTTTTGGACTTAATTTGAGCACAAGACCAACACCAATTTCTAGAATAAACAAGATGACAAATCTGATTTTCAGACCTGTACGGAGTAGCAGTCCCAGCCTACTAGTTTTCTCAGCAGGTCTACAAGCAATAATCACAAGGTGAGATACTTACACACAAGGCATCAAGCCAACAAGTAGAGAAAACAGGTCATACATGACCTACAACAACCTTTCACAAGTACAGGATCACACGATCCAAAACAAGTAGAGGAAAAACCTCACAAGGGTGTGCCAACATTCAGTGGTTCAGGTCCATTCGTTTTCCTCTTGGTACATGACCAAGGGAAGAGAAGAAAGGAAAAGAAAACCCAGATGTACTCCTCTGTTCCGCTCAGATTCAGCAGCTTGGAGAAGACACTTGATTGCCCAGATTTAATGGCCACGCTCTGATACCATCTTGACAGTAAAGGAAGAAGAAGTGTTGAGGCAATGGAACTGTACTGGCGGCGCCAGCTTCATTATAATATATAGGGCGAAAAAATAAGAAGGGAAGTGACCCTTGTGCCCCTACTAAGTGATAGTACAATAATAGATTAAAATAAAAAAGGCTTTAATCATCCAAACAGACCCTAACAAACATAAAATCAATTATTTTAACACTTTCAACAATATATATATATATATATAGTTTAAACAAAACAAATGTTGTTGTCAAGCTATAATAACCTGTGAACTCCATATTAATTTCCATTCTCCGTCTAGGAGTTCCATATCTCCTTTAGAGACACTCTTGTTCACGGATATAAGATCATCAATAGCCTGTCCATGTTACCACACAAAGATGAGAAGAGTTGGGGAAAGTACACCATTTGCAATACATAAAAGATAAATAGGCTTTTATACCATAAATTGGAAAAAAAACTTTTAAGGTTTCAATAAGCATCTAACCTCTTCTACTCCTTCTCCAGTGGAAATGGCCGAGAGTAGTCTTTGCCTTGGTTCAGTTTTCTTTTGCAGAACAAAGGTGGTTCCCTGCACTACAGAGAATTTTCTGGATATCCTAGCTAATGTCAAACTAATCAGAGAATTTTGGCAAGTTAATGCAGCAATATTTATGTCATTGACATAGAAGGTAATATGAGGATTTCCCACTGAAAAAGATATAGAATAAGGGTTCCTATTTCATGGCCATCTCAAACTAAGAAAACTTAGAGATATCTTGACTGCTCATTTTCAGTTTTTGATTGAAATGTAATTAATGAGAACCAATTGGCCTAAGTTGTAGGGACTTATTTTGGTATCAAGGGGTGTATTTTTTGTGCAACAGGTTCTTCTGTAGATTTTGAGTTAGCCTCAAAATTATCCATTATCAATGTCTCTTATACAATTTTTGGATTTATGATATCTCAATCTTCCTATTTATTTCCATAAAGGTTACATATCACAAAAATGAAAAGATAAATTAGTAGAAAATGATCACTTACCTTATTTCCTCTAGATATACGAATGTTTCCAGACTGGGACAAGTATGTGGTGTCTAACCAACCCTTTGCTTCCTCTCCAAGAAGCCTAAAGGGAACTGGATACGGAACCTTAAATGGTAAAAACTTAAAAGAGAAGGCTGCTCTATCAAATCGGAAGAGGATGCGCTTTCCGTCTTTAATTGAAGCTACTGCCTGGGAAGAGTAGGTTTCAGTTTGTAAAGAGAAAGCAATGCACATGATGCAAATACATCTGCGTAAGATCAATGCTTTAAAAGGTATGTAAGGTTCAGACTTGAGGCTTACACCTTAAGTGTCACATTTCTCACACCTTGAAGATTTTTTTTTTGTATTTTTGAAGATATTTTATTGTAAAAACATGAAATGTCATACATTTGAAGTAGAGTTTTATCTTATATTAGATCTTTCAATAGGCGTGAAAGATTCTTATACTCCCTGTTTATTGTTAATTCATCCATATGTTCTTACCACATAAGAATATTTATTAAGCATATTTCTCTATTTTCTCCTTATTTTAGTTAAGCATCAAATCTTGAGGCTTAAGCTTCATACTTCGAAAGGCAGTAGCATCTTGACTCATGCCTCTGCTTTATAAAGAATAAGATTTAGATACTTTGTCTTTTTACTTATTTACTCTTAATGCTTTTATGGTTTAAATATAACACATTTTCCTGTTATCAGTTGGTTCACAAGAATCTTCTTCAGCAAATTCTTCTATATATTCATTTTCTTGGGACTTGGGAGGACTTGATTGGAAATCAAGCTGTCCATGAATGCATAAAAGATCACAGCTTTCTTTTTTTTAGAGAGAGAGAGATTCTAAAGTTTTTTTTATACAATCAGAAGGGGCTAGAGATTCTAAAGGTTTAAATCTTGTTAGGAATACATGATCATATAGAAGATTCGAACATGTTATAGTTGCAATTTAGAGTAATGAAGCATACCTCTACTTTTAGCTCTCCTACTGCATCAGAAAATTTTACAATATTGGAGACCCTTGGATCATTTGTCCTGAGATATACTTCTTGAAAGACACTGAAAAAGTCAACCCCTACAAATGTTCTCTACAGGAATACATGAACACAGAAAAGAAACCATAACCACTTGGTTAATCAAGTTTGTGGACTTTAAAACAGTCTTGAGGAAGAGAAACAAACAAATCTAAAACAAACTTATCAATATGTAAATGTCATATTAAATTCTTTACTTGAACGTCAAAGGCAGTCTTAAATGAATTATATTATGTGGTGTTTCCATAGAAATGGTATTATTAACACTATGATCAGGGAAAGAGGGGATCAAACAGGAAAAAGTCGGGTTAAATTTATTAACTGTTTAAGAAACAGACTAAAGCATGCTTAAATATTTAAACTCGGTATGGATTTCAAAAGTAGTAAATTGTATTAGGAATTGAAATAGATAACTGGTTGCTAAATTGTCTTCCCATAAATAAAACATCTTAAATCAAATGTAAGAATTTTTTAATGTATTGATGATAATGCCATCAAATCATTCTCTGATGAGGCATTATATAGTGAATAATATGGCTATGGATAGATGATAACACAGACAATGAAAGGATGGGTTAAAGCATTACTAATACCATTTAAAATTCATTCAAGGTCTCCTTATTTCTTATGATGTGATATAGATTGGACTTTCTTAAAGTTCACTTGTGAGGTGTGCCTCACTTGGCTTGCTGTCATGTTTTAATGAACTAACCTTGAATTTTATGTTTGAACTAATACTTTATAGTAGGTTATAACTATGATTTTAGAGATTAAAACAGGTTTATCCCTGCTAATAAAATGAAGCTCTAATCAATTGAGCTAATAGAATTTTTGGAGTATTTTACTTCTTTCAGAACTTAGATTTCATATTCTTATACATAGCGTTTTTTTTTTCTTCTTCTTCTTCTTTTTCCTTTTTTTTTTTTTTGTTTTCCAAAAGTGTCACCTTACTTTGTTCGAACATGTGCCAAGGAATCCCTTGTGCTTTAGTTGTGATTCTTGCTTTTAAATAGATACCTAACTTTATCTCAAATAGGAAGCAACATCAAGAAGAATTATGTTTCTCTTAAAACCTTATGAGTTGATAGGAAACAGTCATAAAAGATAAGAAAGTAATAGTTGATAGGAGATAACTATGAAACATAAGGAATTTTTAAGCACTAGATATAATGAAGTTACAAAGACCTAAACAGTTAATATAATGATAAAGATTCGCTAATGAGACTCAGAACAAACTACTAATCATAAAAGTGGAAAACACAGAAATTCTCCAAATATATTTTGAATTTCTGAATAATGAGGAAAGAAACCTGTATTGGAGATGCTGTTCCTGGTCTTGTTGTGAACATTAGTTGCCAGCGACCTTCAATCAAACTGGAGCTTGTCTGCAGTTTATCATAGATATGGTGACATCAAAGTCTTTATCATATAAACAAGGGAATGCGAGTGGATAATCCTCACTAATAATTGTAACAGATTGCACAGGTCAATAGTCATCCCTTCATCCACATAGGACTAGGGGAAGCAATAGCTTGTGTCAAGAAACGTCCAGATTGAACCCAACATATATTTAAATGAGATTAGGATTAGCCAATCCAAAACCTTGGAAGGCCAATCAGTTCTTTTTTCTGTAGGAAAATCAAGTATAATTGAAGCTGCAACTGAAACAAACCTGGAATTCAAGCCAGAGTTGAATTAATGGCATTCCTAACTGGAAAAACTAGTTGATTTAATAGCTTTGCAGGTCGGGACAAGTATCAGCACCGGTACGTATGACACAAGGGTCCTCATAAAAGAAGTTAATTATTGTGCGAGGGATCATTAGCAAGCCCTAGTTTGATGCCCCTAGGTAAATCAGGATCCAAGTGCAACTGAAAACTGATATTCCTACTGGCATCACTTAGTTGATATCTTGAAAATGCTAAATCCATCAAACCAATAAAGGGGAAAAACTATGCTTGCTTTGACAAGTAAATAAAAAACAAAAAAGAAAAAAAGAAAAAGAAGCAACTAAATGGTCACCCACAGGATCAGGTATGCCTTCCAAACCTTCTAGAATTTGCACAGCGCGTTCCACCTCCTGCATAATTTCTCAAGCATCAAAATCAACTGAAACAAAGAGACACCTTTCAAAGAATAATACTCTACTAATGCATCAAATTGTCTCTAAACTACTGAAAAACAAGAAAACGAGTTGAAACCGAAGAAAGAAAAAGAGATTTGAAATGATATATACCTTGAGTTGCTCCGGGGAAGCAGAGCGACCTCTACCTTGTACCCCTATAAGGGCATCAACGAGGGCACTTTCTGGTTCAGTGAAAGAGACTTGTTGCTCTTCAACCAGCGATGACGAAAGAGGAGGACACAATAGCTTTCTGAGAGAAGATTTGAAGGGTTTCGCTGATCGGAGGCGGTTCCTCGGAGCACATGGCGCCAATGCAGGAGAAAAGGTCGGATGGAACGCCAACTTCGCAGCATCCACAGCCATTCCAGAGTAGACTGCACAGAAGAGCAGAGTGAAGGAGCGAATAGGACAGAGGAGACCGGAGAGGTGGTTTGCTCGCTCTTCCGATCTCCACAAGCTTCAAATGTTGTTAAAACCGTTAATGACCTCAAGACTCAACAACGGAGATATTATGCCACGTGGATGTTTCCGACGCCAGACACGTAGTGCCGAACCATTCGTTTTCTCGCCGCAATATCGTTTTTGATATTTTTGCCATTTCGCATGAGACATGATTGATTGGTGTATTTTCTTAAAACCCGTTTGGGAGTGTTTATTTTTAATTACTTATTGTACAAAACGCATTTTTGTGCTTTTAGTAGAAGTCGAAATAAATGCTTTTTTCAAGAAATAATCCCATTTTCGAATAAACTCAATTTTGGTTTTTTTTTCTTTTTCTAATGTTGGGCGAACAAATGGATAAGTTCTACTTGGAATCAAAGGGAACCGACCTCGAAACGGCCTTGAATCGCCCTACCTAATTTGTTAAAGGGTAGGGTATGGTTCTAAATTCTTGGAACCGACCACTGCCTAGGCCAGTTCCAGGGTCTAGGGATTTACCCTACCCAAACCGA